AAAAAACAAATGTCTTAATAAAGTGGATTTTTTTAAATGTTATTAGAGAAAATATGGGGTGAGTGTGTTAGTTTGCCAATAATATGAGCCATCTTTTTCTAGCTTTGATATTCCTTATATTGTTCTCTATGTTTTCTTAACCAACAACCAAAAAAATAAAAAAAAAATAAAAAAATGCAATAAATGGTGGTAGATTTGTCGAGAGAAAAGTTAATTTTGAGAATCTAGTAAAAGAAAAAGGATAACTTTCAGAATATTCAAGTTCATATCATTGATACGATTGAAGACTTTTAGGCAAACAACATAAGTACGTAATTATTTTATTTTAAGACCACGATTTTGTTTTTTGGTTAAAAATCATTGCAATCATGATCAATACGTTGCCAGCACACCAAACTCGAAAAACTTTAAGAAAACAATAATTCACTATTAAAATCATATTTCACGTTACATTTTGGTGAAAACTTTAAGAAAACAATAATTCACTATTAAAATCATGTTTCACGTTACGTAAGTCTTCAAGTCAATCTTTACGGGTGAGAGTCATGAGCAATTCTAATTAGACTGTGACATCAGACTGTTAATTAATCAAATTAATAATTAATTAGCAATTATAATTTGTATAAAGTTTTGCTCCCTTACTCCACTTAAAACGAATAAATAACTTAAATGATTTCTTCCCTAGTTGCACCTAAATGCTTAAATAGAATCAAATTAATAAAAATTAGGTAGACCTATATGTATGTCGTGATTAAAATTATTAATGCTTTTCAATTAAGGTTTCTTGTTTGGTTCGGTCATTACCAATTTTAATGTATAATATTTTATAAAGAAAATTCAGAAAAAGGTACGTGACAAATGATGTCATAGCCACATTTAATTTTGTCCGCCATGTTCATGCTCTTTCATTGAAGGAAGACAAATTATCAAGGCATCAGGCATGCTTATTTTGAAATTTTTTAGTAGAAGTATTGGGGTAGTTGAGCTAACAATATTTGAAATCTAGTTGATTCATTATGTGAAATCCTTATTTATCAAGCGTTAACAACAGGGATGAAGCCAGAATTTAAAACTTATTCGGACTAAAACTATAGCAAATATTAAATAAAAAATTATGATACAAATATTATTTTTTAAGTGTTTTTGCAACAAATATATATATATATATATATATATATATATATTTAAATATATTCACTCAACTAAAACATATCTTTTATTTTAAATTCAGGATTGGACTTAAAATAGTCAATGTCACTCCATTACAACAACAAGAAAATAAAAACTAGTAAAAAGAGAGAAAGAACACTTATTTGGAAAAAAATTAACTTGTTGAACATTTTTTCTCAAATTTCAAGGAGCTATTTAATTTTTCCAAAATATAAAAAATCTTCAAAATTGATATCTATGATATGGTTATTTATATTTAATATTATTCGATAATTTCATTTGATGTGATTACGGCATATATTTTAATTGGTTAGACTAACATTACAAAGATTGTTCAATTCTAATTCTAATTATATATATAATTAAAGATTGTATATATGATTATATAATTATTAAAAAAATTATATATATATACACACACATGCTCCAAAAAATTTATACCTTGCTAAAAGCCAGGAAGAATTGTACATGACTCCGTCCATGGTTAACAAGCTGAGCTGAGATCGACTTAATAATTCCACGAGTCTTATACTACAAAAAAATTGTTATATTCCAACGGAAAATCCTATGGTAACATATTCCGATGGAAATTCCAACGGATATTCCAGTGGTATAACTTCCGTTGGAATCATTCCAACGAAAATATTCCGTTAGAATGTATTTTTTATTGAAATTTTTGATGGAATTTGTTGATTCCAACAGCTATATTTCTAACGGCTTTTGACCGTAGGAGTTTCCGTTGGAATATACAATTTCCGTTGGAATTTTTATTTCCACCACCACTGAAAAATCTACCGTTGGAATCGTTAAAATCCAACGAAAATTCCAATGGAAAACTCACTCCAACGGAATATTTTTGTTAGAATTTCTGTTGGAATAATTCCAACGGAAATAATAGCATTGAAATATCTGTTGGAATTGCTAGTGGAGTATATTTCCGTTGCAATTTCATCATTTTCTTGTAGTGTTAAATAAGTTCGAAGTTTGCTCATTTATCAAATAAGTCGAGTTGAGCCAGACTCACAATTTGCTCGTTTTTTTAAATAGCTCGCATGTTTGAGTGCTATTTTGAGGCCAATTACAAGCTCAACTCATTTATATATCATATGTGGCGAATTGAGCCTTAGGGCATGCTTGTTTATAAAGTATTTCACCCACTTTCAATTCATACTCAAAATCTAACTCAACTTTAACTCAATCTCATTATTTTTAATATTATTCATATAATTAAATAATACAAACCAATCATTCTTACACATCACATCAACTTTAATTCATTATTCATCCACTCACATAATCTTAACTACCTATCATTTCTAATCATTTCCAATCATTTATCTCCTACTTTTACATCAAATCAATTTTAATCATTTTATTTTAAATATTATTTTAATACATTTTTAAAATCCCACTAACAATTAACCATACTACCTTTTTCAAAATTAACTCTAGTTAACTAAAATAACTCATTTTGAATGAAATATTTCATAAACAAGCACGCCCTTAACATTTTGAGCTAAAATCATGAGTGACTCATTCCGCTTAACTGCTCTAACAACATGAGATGAGCGAAACTCGAACTTTAAAGGGTTAAGCTATGTTCACGAATGTCTCTTTCATTTAACTGTCCCAGTAGCAACACAAGAACAATTAAATAGTTAAAAAATCATAACACTACAATTGATTATTACCAGTATAAAACACACATGTATTATATAGGTTATAGTTTAAAATTTATACATAAATTTATATAAAAAAGATAAAAATTTAGTTTAGTTTATAAAAATTTACGTTGTATAATAACGTCCATCATCATTCGTACGACTTACTTGTCCTATATTATTATAATTTCTTTTAACTCATAAGTCATATCATCTACAATAACTTTATAGATTAATTTATTTAATACGTAAACAGTTTTACTATTTTTCAATCAATAATAATAGACAACTTAGTTTTATTACAAAATCAAATGTAATTCTTTATGTTATAGATACAATGTAAATGTCAAGTAGAAATTCGTCAAATAATTAATTTTATATAGTATGTATGAGAAACTGGTAATAAATATAAAAGTTAAAATATATTTATGTAAGTTAGTCAAATTTGTATTATTATTTTAAAATCTTATATAATAGTAATAGATACAAATCCAACCACTCTGAAAGCATGAAAATTTGACATATAAGATTTTGAAATATGAGAATTCTGACACATAAGCACTGGAAGTTGACAAAGGTATTTCAGTCCAATTTACAGATAGGTTCCTATTTTGAGTCCAATTACACTGCTCTTTTTTTTTTTCTAATTTATATTGGAAAAGCAAATTTAATATTCTTCAGATTATTAATAAGCCGGTAAAAGAATAGCTGCGTACAGGCGTAGTAGGTATAAAAAGATAGGTCTCTCCCAAACACCACATTGCATAAATTATTCTTGAATTCGGATTGCTGCAAGACGCTTGCAAGTTGCAAGATTGAATTTTTTATTTGAAAGGTAACTCAAAAAAGTTGAATATCTTATTTAAGTGTACTCGTTTCTGGCTGCTTGTTATTTTAGCTATTTATTCCTCTTTTCTAGCTAAGAATTTTTGGGAATATTCGTTTGTCTATGTGCTTTTTTTCCCCTTATATTTTACCTTTTTGTGAATCTTTTGTACATGGGCTCTGCGTGTATTCAGGTATAGAATTGTTTTTCGTGGGAAAGATTGCACTTTTTAACCCCTTTATTCAGTGCTTTTCATCAGGTGATATTTGCTGATTCAGTAGAGATCTCCTTTTTTTTTTTTTTGTTTTTTCTTTAAATTGGGTTTCACCTTGGAATTTTATAGGTTGTGGATCTGTTTATTCGGTTCTTTTGATCAGGTGATATTTGTGCTCCATTTTCATGTTTTTGCTTTAAATTGGGTTTCACCTTGGGATTCTGTAGCTTGTGGATCTTTTGAATCTGTTGAATTTACTGCTGACTGGAAAAAAATGTGATTATGAAGCATGAACTTCAAGAATTTTATAGTGGATCTGTTTATTCAGTTCTTTTGATCAGGTGATATTTGTTGATTCTGTAGAGGTGCTCCATTTTTATGTTTTTGCTTTAAATTGGGTTTCACCTTGGGACTCTGTAGCTTGTGGATCTTTTGAATCTGTTGAATTTACTGCTTACTGGAAAAAAAAAATTGTGATTATGAAGCATGAACTTCAAGAATATTATTTGTTGCCTTGGGATTTTTATTTTTCAATTCTGGCAATGCTGAATTTTTTTTTTTTTTTTTGATTTTTTTGATAATTTGCTAAAACATTAGAGAATCGCTAATTATCGTTCCTGTTAATTATTCCCAATACATTCAATTCTTCTTAATCCCTGATGGTGAATTATTCATATGGTTTTCAGTTTCACATCTCATCCGTTTACAGTTGAAAGTATCAGACACTTTCAACATCTGTTACCTGGAGTTTGGTCGAAATTCCAGATTCTCCCTCGATTTTCTCTAGTTAAGAAAAAAAAAGCCAGGGAATGCTGAAAGATGTGCTTGCTGGATAGACAGTCCTTCTGTTCCTTTTACGAGGCAGGAGCTCAATCCGAGCTTCCATCTTTAATCATTGACGAGATTGGACTCGTAAATTACAGCCCTAAATACACCCTCTTTCAAAAGCCCGCTTTGGCCAAGTATATGAAAGAACAAATTGTCTCCTACGAGGACGGTTGAGCCACTGCATTCTTGAAAAGAGAGGGAAAACAAAAACTACAGTTTGTTTCTCTAGGTAGCCAATAAAAGCAGTGTTTTTTTTTTTCTTTTTTAATATTTAATTAGATTTGTAATCGCATATGGAAGAAAAAGGAGGTGTCTTGATGCAAAAATACGAGCTGGGAAAATTGCTCGGGCAGGGCACTTTTGCCAAGGTTTACCACGCAAGGGATATCAAGAATGGGAACAGTGTAGCTATCAAGGTTATGGACAAGGAGAAAATTTCGAAAGGTGGGCTGGTCGAGCAAATCAAACGGGAAATTTCCATAATGAGCCGTGTAAGGCACCCAAACATCGTGCAGCTTTATGAGGTGATGGCCACCAAAACCAAAATATATTTCGTGATGGAATATATGAAAGGCGGGGAGCTCTTCAACAAGGTGGCCAAGGGAAAACTGAATCCCGAAGCTGCACGAAAATATTTTCAGCAGCTGATTAGCGCCGTCGATTTTTGTCACAGCCGGGGAGTTTATCACAGGGACCTCAAGCCTGAGAATCTTCTCCTCGACGACAACGGTGATTTGAAAGTCTCGGATTTTGGGCTTAGCGCACTTCACGAATCGAGAAGGAAAGACGGGCTTTTACACACTATGTGTGGGACCCCGGCTTATGTGGCGCCTGAGGTTGTCAGTAGGAGAGGATATGATGGCGCGAAAGCGGATATCTGGTCGTGTGGGGTTATCCTGTTTGTTCTGTTGACTGGCTATTTACCTTTTCATGACTCGAATTTAATGGAGATGTACAGGAAAATAGGAAAAGGGGAGTTCAAGTGCCCGGTGTGGGTCCCGCCTGATGCCCGGAGGCTGATTTCGAAGATGTTGGACACGAATCCGAGTACAAGGATAAGTATGTCCAAGATCATGAATAATTCTTGGTTTCGTAAGGGGTTTCAAAATGCCGATAGTGATTTTGTTGCGACTCGTGGGGGTGTTATTAATTTGAAGGAAGAAGAAGCAGTTGAGGAAGAAAGTGTTGAATTTGGAAAGCCGGTAAATCTAAATGCTTTTGAAATAATTTCGCTATCTGCCGGTTTCAACTTGTCGGGCATGTTCGAGGAGGACGCGAGTCGAAAGAAAGAGGTCAAGTTCACAACCAACCAGCCGATCAAGACTGTCATCTCCAAATTGGAGGAATTAGCCGAGCGTCTGAAGATGAAGGTGATGAAAAAGAAGCACGGAGGGTTTTTGAAAATGGAGGGCTCAAAAGAAGGGAGGAAAGGCACGTTGTCGATAGATGCAGATATTTTCCAAGTGGGCCCGGATTTTCACTTGGTAGAGATGAGAAAGTCGAATGGGGACACGCTGGAGTATTGGAAGTTGATGGATCGCGAAATCAGACCAGCTCTAAAAGACATTGTGTGGGCGTGGCAAGGGGACGAGCCTCAACAATCTGTACCAACTCAAGTTACAGAGGCCTAAGTGAAATTATCTTCATATTTGTTTATATTAGTTTAATTGTAATTAACATTAAGTGCTGCGGAGACTGAAGACGTTCTTCTGGATATTTAAAGCATTCTAGCATGGAGTCTTATTTTGGATTTATGTTATTTAAAACGTGTTTTTCTCCTTTCTGCCAATGCTTCCATGATTCCATCTCATAGAGAATAAAAAATATAAGGTATTTATTGTTCTAAAAGAAAAAAAAACTAGTACATAGAGAATCCAGTTTAGTACTTACACATGTTGGAATTTACTAGTTTAGTCCATAGAATCTATTCAGTATCGTGTTAGAAACAGAACGCAAAAGAAGAATGGATCGACCAAACTTCCATTGAAGTCTTTTTTCTAATAAAAAAGGAACAACATACATCAACATTCCAAGAGGGATTTCAGTACTAATTAAGACCCTAAATGTGTCAAATTTACCGAACAGGCCACAATTCCGCATATCTGTTAACACCGTGTGCGGACGACGTGAAAAAACTTGCCACATAACCGTAAAGTGGTTCCCTTTCTCTGAGTCAGATCGGAATAAAAGAATGTTCAGTCCTGCTTAATACCCAATTATATACAGGACAAACAGAAATGCATTCCATTAAAAGGTGCTATATGCTAAAGAGTAAATCTCCCTTGTACAGAAAAAAAAGAAGGAAGATGCAAGTGTTCTATAAATCCCCTCAAAAAGAGGCTTGTTTTTTCCTCACCACAAGAGGAGTTGTAATCAAATTTTCTCGTACTTTCTCATTTCCTTCCTT